AGTAGTCTCTTTAAAATAAAAAAATAATATATATATTTATACAGCTATACAGAGAGAGATACAGAGAAAGCAAAGGAGAGAGAGGCTACTAAAAATCAAGAAGCGCCAGTTTTCTGCTACAGCTGTCAGCAAAGAACCGTCACCTGACATCATACCCTCCGAGACGGTGAAGATAATGGAGGCAATGACAGCACGGGAATGCAAAAGAGGGCAGATAAGTCACTTCTGGTAATGAGACACAAATTAAACTTTCAAAACATGTGCATAGCTTTATTCATCTGCTTCAAACTAACCTTTTCACGGAGCTTCAGTGAAACTCGAGTGTGCAAAATGCATTTCTAAAAAATAACGCAAGCAAGCTTTCACATTTACAGTGGCAGAAGTACAGAAAGACTAACAGACATCACACATTAGGGCAAGTGAGTTGAGAGAGAGACACAGAGAGAGAGAGAGATGAAGAAACAAGAATTGCACAGTTTCATATCCCGAGTCACTGACTGCAAACATAAACATTTCTATTTTGTTAACTTTAAGCAAGGCATGTTTACTTTTCTTTTTCCTTTGCAAAAAACTGGAAAAAAAAAAAAAAAGCCACAGTAACAAGAACCACAACCTGGCAGGGAATAAATCCCCAGGATAATGGAATTCCCGGCCTCTGCAGAGAACTAATTCCGGAGGAAAGCCGGTTCCAGACCTTCTCTCGTTTCATCGGCAGAGCACTGCAAGGCTTATTCTTGCCTGCAGGAGAACAGCAAAGCACATTCTCTTGCTCTCATCCCCACTGCCCTCAAAAATCGCAGAAAACAGGTCACGTTAAGAAAGGAAAGGTGCCGTCCCATAGGACTTTTTCCCCAAACTGTAAGACAGCCACTACCCGGAGTCTCATTTCAACAGCAGGTTTGATGGGTCATCAAGACACTAACTCCTCCTGGACTGCAGATGGGGCAGGGTTATTACGCTTGGCGAGGGAGCAGCCTGGCTATCTACTGCAAAGTCCCGCAGCAGCTCACAAACTACAAGTTTTGTTTAAGCACACATGCAAGGCACATTTATTTATATGTACACACACGCATGTGTGTAAAAAAAGCAAACGCTGGTCAAAAAAATGATGCTGAACAAGCTAATTAAACAGGCAGAGAATTCCGGACTATATTTATATACTATTTTCCAGGCAGTTGTAATCCCAAAGCATTTTTCCTATGCAACTTTAGACCTCCCTTACTCTTCCCTCACTTCACAAAAGATATTCTCTCTATATATTTTAAAGGATCTTCTCGAAGTAAAACATCAAGTAAATTCCCTTTATTTTCTCCAGTAAACTCTTACTTCACGGTACGTGAGCTCGCCCCTGCGATCACAGGCGAGCACGCGCGGCCGGCTCGCCCCGCCGGCGGCGAGAGCACGGCTAGGGGCAACCTATGAGGGCAGGAGGTTCTGGATCTGCCCTAGTCCCACGGCAGCGCCTCCGCGCAGCGGGACCTTCCTCCGCTGCTCACTAAACTCTGCGCTTTCCCGCATTATCCGTCAGGTTTCGGCTGGGCAGACGGCTCGGCCTCGCTGCAACAGCGGGACGTACTGCTGGGAAGAAAGCTTGCTTCAGATACCGTCGCCCCGAGGGCAGCTTGCAAGTTAGACTGCTTCCTAACTTTGGGAACGCAGAGATACCACCGGCTAGGAAGGAGGTCATACCATTTCTAATACTGCTGGTTAATCCCTGCCATAAATTTCACATTGAGATAAAGCATTACAAGGATTTTTTTTTTTCTCCCCTCTCTCAGAGATGAGCAATTTCCCTCCAAAGATGTACTCAAACAGAAAATGGAACGTTAGAACCGGAGACAAGTTCATCGAGATCCTTTCGACCTTACGAGTACTCAGGCATCTTTCCCGTGCCAGCCATCAAGGAAGGAGAAGTTGAAACCCTCGGGGATTTGCACTACCCTTCCAATAGCAGCTAGAAAAAAGGAAGGAGAGAAAAAAACCGCACAGTGTTCTTTCAAGTTAGGAGTTCTCCTTTGCTTGCGTTTGCATAGAAAATCTCGCAGGTCAGCACCAAAGTCAGGTACGCTCCTCTCCCCTTGCCCCGCGCGCCCCAGACGCTCCCGTGCCTCGGCCACCCGCAGAGCTAGTGGCTGTGTTACAGGAGGGTTCAACTATCCTCAGAGGAACTATATGGTCATGTAAAAAAAAGTGCATCACACATTCTTGATTTTCAGGGTTACTTATAGCAGCAGCAGCATTAATCCAAGACATGAACAGTTGTAGATTCATTCTTAAATGCAGCAACACTTAATGAAATGTCTTCAAGGAAGGTCATAAGAGGGTCCTTCTCAAAAGGATAACATGAAAATTAGATTATTTAATATAGACAAAAAGGAGATAAAACAAAATTAAAGACGCAGAATCTTATTTACATTAAAAAAACATTCTTGTTAAAATATCTTTACAACACCTAAGCAAAAAAATATGTATTTTAAGAATAAAGCAGAAACTCCTAAAGCAGTATCCATTTTTGGAACCCTTATTTAGCACCTGAGGAAAGACCGTATGGAAAGCAGACAGGTTTTTTTTGTTTTTTGTTTTTTTTTTATAAGAAAACCGTAAGTTGTATTTTTCCTAAACGTTCATATGTTCGCAGTACACAAGTTTTCATACCACAGAAAGAAACGAACTTTTTTTTTTTTCCTTTTTCTTTTTAAAGATACTCTACTCATTAATAAGGCTGTAGAAAAGGGATACTGCTATCTTACAAAATGGCTTTAGAGCTCTGGACACGTTATACGAAGCTTTCTGGTTAACAGTCAAGATAAACACAGATCCGCATCCCCTGGCGAAAGCACAGGTATGACTTGTGTTCCTGTAACAGGATCAAGGGCAAAGCGACGGCGGGAGCCGCCTGCCCGGCGCGCTCGCGCGTCCCCTCGCGCCTCCACCGCGTCTCGTCTCACACCGCTAAGTTATGCCACTTTTGAGGACCTCGAGCAGCATACGAGGAAGCCAGCCTTGGCCCGCGGGGCGACAGGTCTCGCGCGCGCGCTTCTAAGGCTCCGTGGTCTCTGGAAGGCAGCGCGTCCGGCAGAGGAGCCAACGACCTCCCTCCCGCTCCTCCGCCTCCGGCCACGCTCCTGGTTCTCAGCTCTCTGCGCGCTTCGCCACGCGGAGAGGCAGCAACACGCGTCACGCCGGCCGTGGCCACAGCTAGACCACCTCCCACCGCTTCAGCCGCTTCTCCGTGACCCCGTCTTCCAGCCCCGGACCTCCGCCCGCCTCACGCACCTGGCTGAAATTCTGCCGCAGCTTTAAATCCTGTTTAGCCTTGTTCTTGCCCCTCCTGACCTCAATCATCTCCCTTGTAAACAGCCTCTGCAAGGAAAACAAATCGCAAACATGCACAGGGACAAAAAAAAAAAAAATCTTCTAGTGACAAGACTCCTGAAAGCATCGGACACCGGAGCAGTTTACTGAAAACGCTGCATCAGAGCAAAAGCTGAACACGCAGGAAAACTATTAGCCACGTACAAGCAGTCCTGAAATAAGCCTGCGATAACATCGTGCTCCCAACCCAGACGTCACCCTCACCTGCCGCGTCCGGAAAGGACGCTCCTGCGCTAAAGCAGCGCTCTCGAAGGCGAAAAGCACTAATCACAAGTGAAACCTGGAGGACAACTTCCACCTCTCACGTTTTCCGAGGAGAAAACAATTTGCCTTTTGATTTAGGTAGCCCGTTCGCCCTGTTACCTGCTCCCAGCCTTCGAATAGCTGGCCTGCTCGCCATCTAACGGAAGTTGTCTTCTTCCACGTCTAAAAGCAGCTCACAGCAGCCGCGAGAGGCAAACAACGGGATTTACGGCTCGAGAAGGGCTAGCGACAGAAACCACCGCTTTGCCCAAAGCTACCGACGTTATCAGCGAGACAGGCGATTCCTGAAGTCGTGAGCAGGTTTCCCAGAGGACCGAGGTGGGTTTAAACCACCAACAAAACCAAATCCAAGCCAACGCTGGAAACCCTAGCGCTGCCGGCCCACCGAGCAGGTCCTGCCCGAGGGACCCAGGAGGCCACCGCTCGCCTGAGTCACCGTGAGCAGAGGGAAACGGAGCAAGGAGCGGCTTGGAGACAGACCACGCTCCCCAGCCCACCGGGGAGACAACACGCCGCCCGGGCTGGGGGCGCCCCGTCGAGCCGCGTCCACGCGAGACCTGTGGCCTGAGGCACCCTGCAGAACCTGCCGGGGGGGAGACGAAGCTCTAGTCCAGCGGGGGAAAGAGAGGAAAACCAAATTTGCAGAGGCACCTGTGCACACGCACATACCCCTCTGTCTCAGGCAGGGCTAACCGGTCACATAACGCAAACCCTGGCACAGGGAACAGGAGGAAGAGCACTCGTAAGGCCTACAATAAGAACAGAAAGGTGAAAGAAGCCTTAACCTGAATTAGCATCTTCGCAGCTATTCGAAAACTAGGTCATGATTTCACCCTTAGTGCCACTTTCCAATACGACACGTAATTAAGGGTTTCTTGTTTTTAAACTCGCTGTACTCAGTGTAATGAAAACAATGGCACAAATAAATACGCGCTCACTCTCCTTACGCTAAGGAAGGGCTCGCGGCCCCCCGGCGCCCAGCCGCTCGCCCCCGCGCACGCACCCAGGCGCCTCCGCT